CTTCCACTTCATCCACCCTTCCCTCAATGCGTTCTGCATGCCCAGCCAAGCCTTGCAATGCTGACAGTATATCTTGTCTCATCTCTACATTCTTCTTTTCAAACAGGTCTTCCATTTCTACTCTTATTTGTCTTGTAGTATCCTTTAATGCATCTTGAATATCTTTTAATGTAAGTGCTGGGGCTGGGGCTGGGGCTGGGGCTGGAGCTGGGGGGGAAGGTGGAGGACTCCTTATTTTAGGTGGAGGACTCCTTGATTTAGTCTGCTGTGGTATCTGAACAACAGAGGGGGAAATAATCTTCTGAGGAACAAAAGCTCCACGCTTAGAAGCCATTTTACTTTCCCCCCCATTTTCCTTTCCCTTTTTATATTAAAATCTTGTAAAAATCTTTTAAAAATATTTTAAACTTTTGTAAAAACACCAGCAACGATAAAAACGAAGAAAAACCTTTTCCATCAATACAATGTAGCTAATTGAAAGCCCAAGAGAAAGTTTCTAGAAAGTGAAAGTCTCATATGAATTCACCACAGAGGAGAAAAGAAACGCCCTTCTGCAGCCATATTCTTTGCTCTTCAAATTCAGTTAAAGAAAGCAGGAGAAGATCATAAGTTTAGAGTTAAGGTTTCAACAAAAATCCCCGTCAGATCTTCCTGGCAGGCTCTGTCTGTCTTTAAAAGTTACACTCACGCTCTCCTTGAAAACAGAGATTGAATCCACGTCTTGCTTCGAACGAGCAGTCGAACGAAGGCAGCCCGAAGAATGGAGAGGTCCCTAGCTCCGGGGGATCTCGCCTTCACCCCCACCACTTTAAAAGTATGGGGGCTAGCGAGATCTACCCCTACTAGAGAAACTCATCTCTCCCCCTTTGCCCGGGGGAGAGGATTTCCGAACCGCAGGACAGCTGATGGACGCTGTTTCCCGCGGCTCACATTTCTTTGGGGAGGGCAGCCTGTGGAGAAGCTGCCATCGGCGCCGGCGATTCAACCGGAAGTCAGTTTGGTTCCTTCAAAATCAATTTCATGTCCTGTAGCTTTAAGATGCTGGAAGAGGGAGGACACCAC